AAACATACAAAGATTACTCACAGATTCCCATTTTCTATAAAACATTTGGTAATGAAAACACTGTTATCTAAAGACTCATTATTTAACAGGCCCCATGCTAAGAATTTTATATAGTATCTCACTAAGTCTTATGCTCCCCTCTGAGAGAGCCAAAGCATTAATGCATGCAAGTAATCATTCACTGGTTCATTCACTCACTCCCACTCAATTTGTATGGCCAATGTCAAATGGTTAGGCAAGTACTTGGTAGAAGCAGGTTACACCCAGGACTCTGGCTCTTGGATCCAACAAAAGGTTCCTAAGAAGTTTGAAAATTCAAGCCACCTGAACTCAAACCATTCAGTTGGAAAAACTAATAATCTTTCCTTTCTGTCCATGCTGCATTGTTACCTTTGTCCTTTCAAGGAGTAAGTACTTATACTTATTCATCAGCTCTGATTTCCTTTTTCTTTTCTAATTATTTTTTTTTTTGCTGCTTTTACTCTTATTACTACCTTCCTCCTGCTTTCCTTAGGATTATTTTATTCTCTTTTAATCAAACTGAATTATAATCAACTTATTTTCATGTTTTTCATATAATAAAATAGTTTAAGACTATGAGCTTGTCATTGTTTCCACTCAATAGCACCAAACACCTGGGCATACGTCTATGCATAATGCATTTGTTTTTCTCTCTTTTACTTTTATAAAAAGATTATATTCTGTCTTTGTAGTATTAATTGAATGACTGGTCGAATAGTTATTTAAGAGATATTCCACGTGGTTAATTGTTGCAGTGGTTTAAAATTAATAATATCGAATTTATTACACAAGGTGTGCACAACTCCTGCTTTGGGAATGTGAGGATTTCTTCTTGGTGTAACACTAGATCAACAAAAATTTATCTTGTATGTATGTGTATGTGCATCCATCGTAAGGTTTAGTATCAACATGCATTATTATGACTTAGTTACATTATGAAAAATGCCTTTTTAACTAAGCCTAAAGCCTGAAGCAGTATGCTAAAGTCTTTAAGCATTTTGTAGTAGTTACCCAGCATTTCTGATAATGTTTCCCTCTTCTTACTTTTAATATTTTTCTAGTACTGGGGATTGAACTCAGGGATGCTTTACCACTGAGCTATGTTACCAACCCTTTTTAATATTTGTTTTGATACAGAGTCTTACTACTTATTAAACTTTTTCTAAAATAAAGTATATTTAAAGAAAAGTACACAAATCAAGGGGATAGCCTATATGACCTGAG